AGCAGCTGGGTACATATTATAGCAAAGAGGGCTAATCTTTCAATCTCATGACCGGCTGAACGGGGTTCGAATCCCAGCGTTGACACCACAACATATCTTCAACACATGCATGAGCTTCCAGTATCCTGCATTTCCCAATTGGTGACCATGGACTTTTAAAATACGAAATTTTCATCCATGCACAGATGGCAGCACCACAGAGCTGCCTAACACAACAAACTCTAGTATTTCCCATCTCTCACGATAGATGAAACTACCAGAAAAACTACTTAAGAACATATTCTATTGTTTATTTGACAAAACACAGCTCAACTACAACCTAACTCCAATGTCCAGATAAATTTTTTATATATTTTTAACCTTTGAAACCATGCTAGATGTAAATAATTACAAAATCGCACAGTTTTTACTGATAGTTTCCAGTGCCAGTTGTAAATGGTATCAAAACCGTAAAGGTAAAAGAATGTTCCTAAACGTAAACTTTAAGGTTAATAGGATGGGCTGACTGCTGGTCATTTTACCGTAATTTTAGAATAAGAATTCTAATAGTGCGTAACGAAAATTTATCATTTTTATGATTTTGATAATTTTTTGTTATCAGAATTATTTTTAATTGCAATTTTTAATTATTTCTAATTTCTTAATATGATGAATGTGGTTTTCTAAAAAATTTTAAAAACTTACAGACACTGTTTAGATTTTGCCTTAACAACAAAACTTTTTTACTGCATTTTTTTAGAAAAGTTTTCATGTCCGTTCGGAATATCACTATAACATTTTTAAATTTAATCTGAAAATCATTTACTTTTTAAAAATTTTACAAAATTAACTATTTTATACTTGAATGATTTTGTTCATCTTAGTATTTTAAAAGTACAAATATCATGACCAATAATATTATTTCGTCATTTTGATATTGGGTCCTAAAATCAGATTAGTTTATTATTTAAGTAATGCCGTTCAAGTTTCACTGAATGACATGGAAGGACTTACTTGTTGAATTACAATTGAAGCACTGAAAAAGGAACCAACTCGGATGTGTACCTTTCTGAAATTTTAAAAACCAGGTGTCAAAATTACGTAATTTTAAAAAAAGGATGGAAAAAGTCGCCAACTATATTTCCATTAAGAATCATAAAAAAACTGTAATTTTTGTGACATCAGTATGAAATTTTCGAAGAATGTACCATATACGCCATTCATTTCTTTTAATTTTTTCTTAATTGCTTTGCTTTATATAGTTTTATAATCGTCTTTGAGCAGCCATCCTAATTTTGAGTTTATGACTACCAATTTTCAACTCCTTGAAATCTTGAAGCCTTGAAATTTTGAACCCAATTCAGAAAACAAGGGAACTCCTAGATAAGTATTGAAAGAAATTTGCCTGAGTGAAGGACTTAATAATGGAGCTAACCAGCGTTTGCTTTCAACGGAGAAGAAAACCACGAAAATATCCCATAGATAGCCTCACGGCAAGGAGACTCTAGCTCATGATCCGCCTACCATTGAGGATATTTTACGTCAGTACTGCGGTAGGTGTGAACTGGGTGCTGAATTCTTATCGACCAGCCGTCGCTAGGATTCGAACCAGGGTCACCTCATTGGAAGGCGAGCTCTCTATCCTTTGAGCCACCATATTGCTTCTCATAAAATTATTTCATTGATATGAAATAATTTTATGAGATGATATGTGAAGATGATATGTGAGGAGCTTAAGAGATTCTATGAGACATTTTCGTGAATTTGAGAACATCAGCTTTTTAAAATGTAGCAATATCAGGAATTTGTCTACAACACACATTTACACATTGAAAAATATCTTATTTAATGACCCGGCAGAAAAAAATTAGTACTATAAATACAGCTGTCCATATAACTTAAAAGTTTAAACTTTTTTGGATTATCACTTGGTGCTTTTCTCTATGTTCTTCATATATTAAATGTATTCTTATACTTCAAACATAAAATTTTCAACGGTACCTTACTTTCTACATATTTGGAAGAAATATAAAATTCAGTATTTTACTTTCTAAGTATTTTTAAGACTCAAATGTTTTGTGCAATTCCTTTTTACGTAGCATGCTTACAAACTTTTTCCAGCTACACGGTTTGTTTGCAAACTTTATCTGCACTTACAGATAAATCGATTCATCGTTGAACGATAATATCGCTGACTTGATCCTTAATATGTTCGATATTTTCTGCAACTTTAACGATTTTTTAAATTGAACCATGTTTTTTTTTTCAAGCTGAACATCCGCGTAATCAAGTTTAAAAGGTACTATAATATGGTTCAACTTAGCACATTTTTGAAGTTGCACTGACCCATATTATGGTTCAAAACTCTCCGAAAATTTCTATCAGTGAAAGCTTTTTTTTAGTAACCCTTTTTTAATACGGAATTACTTGTTAAGAATAAATTCAAATAAAAATAAAAATAACATTCGATAAAAAAATAAATAAATGAAACTGTCTTTTTCTTATGGCGTCTCCAAACTGGAAGAAGTGATGAGTTATCGGCTGAGTGGTTTTCAGATGTGCTAAAACATCTTGTTTACATTACAACAAAGTATCAGTCAAATCTGTCACCTTGTTCCACCATATGTTATTATGTCACTAGATTGATTGGCAGAAAAAAACAACGTGTTTCCTTACTAATTTGCTGTTACTAAATTTACTCATTACTAATGTTTAATGCACTAATAATGTTTTTACACTTGATATTGGTGCAAAGTTAGGGGCAGCTAATTTATGGGTACGAGGGAAGTTATCGTGGAAAATATTTTTGAATTTTATTTTTAATTATTATTTTGAAATATTTTGAAAATCTGAATTTCCATATGAACGGTAAAATTACCAGATGAGTGATCTAAGTACCTAACATTTTGTTTTTTTTCTTTCTGTTTTTTTAAGCAAAATTATGTTTTTTTTTACCCTAAATATCTTTACCATACAGCACAGTAGTTTTACCAGAATTTTTTCTCTGTGAGGAGTCATTTTGTTTATTTAAGCTCCGTACATCCATACATCCGTTAATTAAAAATAAAAGGCAAGGGAAATATGAATATTAAAATATTTCATAAGAATAATAGTTAATATTTTCTTATTATTAAAAATTGTCGAAAGTTGCAATTAAAAAGCAAATAAAGAATTTACTTTTTTACCATTTAAACCTTCAAAACTTACAGATAAATTTTGAGCGATCAATAACAAAATAATTCCAGTTGCTCACAGTAGCAAACCACAGTTTTCACATAAACCTCTCTTTTAACTACCTGTTAGAAGATAATATAAATAAGCAAAAATCAACTGGAATGAAAATTAAATAAAAGAATACTCATGTAAAAAAGGATAACTAATATTGTTGTTTATTTTGAACTGTAATTTTTTTTAAATTTCAGCTGGAAATACTGTATTTAATACTGTATTTATGCTGATGAAAGCACATTCTTCTTCATTGCAATCTGTATGCGAGTGCCCGAATTAAATTAAAGACTGATTTGAGGCGTCATTCTATTTGTCGACCTCCTTTTTTTCAGAACTGGTCAAAAGTATCGAAAGTTTTGCTTCCTTGCGGAATTTTGTTTTTAATGTAAATTTGTAAATTTTCTTGTTTTTGTTTTCTACTTACTTATGTAAACCTCATGCTATACTTTGTGGAGCATGAGAAATTTTCAATCATTTAAATAAAATAAAAATACTGTACTTATAAAAAATACAAATTAATTTTCTTCAATGAGCTATAAATTTTATTTCAAATTATGAGGCATTTATTTTTTATGAATATTTTTATGTGTATAAGTACTTATTTACATCTTTTGGTATTAGTGTACAAAATTCCACTTATTCAAAAACTTTAAACGCTGGTGTAAACACCTTGAGCATTTTCACTGTAAGCAAGTTGCAATTTAATTTTTTTTCATTATAATTTTATTTTAAACTAAATTGTGTTAAGAATAGCTAATTTTTTAAAAAAAGTTGAGAAGTTTTCTACTTATTTTGCTTTGAGGGAACATATTATTTAAGTATCTGGAAACATATTATTTCACTTGATTATTTAAATATAACTGACACAAATGTATGCTTTTTTTCTGTCATTTTTATCAAGTAAAATCGTTGTGTATCGAAAGATATATTATTATTAAACAAATGCCGATATTCATTATAATTTAAAATACTCATAAGTATTAAAAGCTTAACCGTTTGAAATAAACTTTGACTCATATTGAACAACAGTATATGAACATTTTATAACTATAACAGTGAAAGTATTAAAATATATTTATCAGAAAAAAAATCCCATTTTCTTATGATAAGAAAAGCAAATTTTTGCTCTCGCGTACGTCTGACTTCCTATAATGTGAAAGAGTGAAGAATTCGATGTTTTATAAGAAAGAAATAAACTATTTTCATTTTTTTATATTAATCCTTAGAGCTCTATGACGCCCTCACAAAAAGGATAACCAGTAAAAATGTTAAGATACTAAATTTCTTTTTTTAAAAAACTGTGGTAGTTAGTAGGTAATCTCAAAATTTTTATTGCTTATTACTAATATGCTTTTCCTTTTAAGTTCTCGGAAAACGAGAATCGAATTTAAGCTCCTGTAAAAAATATTTATAACCATTGCATGCATAATAAAATTTGATTTTCTTGCAATATGTCGATTAAAAACGATTTTTAATGTGGAAAAAGTTTGTAAATGTAACTGCTGCCTAGACTAGACCACTGCAATAGAGCGTGTAATAGTTCTTGTCCCTGGAAAAGTCTATAAGGACTCACGCAAGTTGACCTGAACGAAATTTGTATTGTTGAGTACCGATTTCCAAATACATGTCATATCATTGTAGGAGTTACGAACACTATTTTATTTTTCCGAAAAAAAATAGCATGATAAACGCTTAAACAATTATTATTTTTTTCTTTTTTACACACCGCAACCAGACGAAAAGATAGATAACTTGCTGTGTCACCTGTGAAACCGAACAACCAATCAGAAGAGACTTCTCTTTCCTATTCCTAAACAGACACTATCAGGTGGTTGCTCTTCACGGACCGTTGAATGAGATGACCGCTTCCTTTGCGGATCAGCATCAGAACGAAAAAGTTTGGACACATCGAAACATATCGTTTGGCGCTTTTCTTTGCTTACATGTGCCTTCAACGGCGCGGCTGATGAAAACACGAGGTCTCGGAACATATTGGTTCCGCTCTTATTTCACGATTTGATTCGTTTTGCGTACGAGAATATCTACTATTTACCTCTACTTGCCTATCAGCTAGTTTTTTATTCGAATACCTGAGATGCGTGGAATACTTTCTCTGTGACTGTGAATAGTGAATAAATATTTTATTCAATATCTATTTATTAGATGTGTTGAAAATTTCCTCGAGGGATACGGATTTGATCGCTACTCAAAACTGATTGATGAAAAAATAGATTTCGATCGGAAGTAAAAGAAAACGATTTTTAAAGAACTTTCAAATTATCGTTTGAAATCATTTAGTTTGGTTGATTGGTTAAGTTATTGTGAAAATTATATTTTGTTCTACGTCATTACTGTAGCACTTACTTAGATAAATATATTTATTCAATTATTTATCTACACTTTTGAAAATTGAATATTTAAAATCAAAATGTGAAAACGATATGCATCATTATTCTTATTAATTTACTAATAGCATGATTAATTCCATGATAAAGTTATACGTTTTCTAGTCTCACTTACAAAAAGTTTTCATCATGCCGCTATTTAGTGCAAGAAAAAAGAAAGAAGAGTTTAGAAGCAATAATCACACAAATGGCTCAGGATCTTCATCTCCGAACTCTCCAAGTACTCCGGAGCGATCTAATACACCTAATAATTATCATCAAAATGGACAACATAGTCCGGTGAGTCCTGAACAAGTACGTGAACTTCCAGTTCATAAACCAAAATTGGTTTTCCATTGTCAACAAGCGCAAGGAAGTCCAACAGGAATAATATCTGGATTCACTAATATTAAGGAGCTATACCAGAAAATATCAGAGTGTTACGATTTTCCTGTATCTGATGTAAGTAAAAAAAATTTTTTTTTTTATAAAATCAAAAATTATACCTTAAGTACAAATAAAAATAATGGAAGAGCGGCTCTATCACACATACTCACTAAAAGTTCGAAGGTGTAGAGAAGTTCGCAGATTACACTTAAATTTTTGCCGCTGTAATCTCAATATATCCTACGTAGCTATATGTCATATCTATATATTGTATAGCTATATATTATTTAGCTATATATTAAGTTGTTATGCGAAGTGAGAGCAAAGAGCAACGCTGTTATGCGTTGTTGGAGCAAAGCTATTCAAGCTATGCATTATATAATTTATATTATATAGTTTCATGTTTATAAATGCTTATTTTTTCCCTAATTATAGGTGGTTGTAAATTTTAGTTATCTTATTAATTATTTTTAATTAATGATGATATTATTAGGCAGAAATATTTTGTAGTGTATAATGAGTATATTAATTTTTATAAACTTAATGAACATAATCTCTCAGCTGTTCTATATTTTTTCCAGACGTACTTCGTCAATACTGATTTTTCAAGCATTTTATATCTATTGTTTGCATCTTTCTCTCATTTAGATGTCGTGCAAGTTTTAAGCTAATTGCGTAATGTTCCAGAATTTTTCTTTTTGTTCCTTGATTTTAATTTTAAATTAATAATTTATTGACAGAAGCTACAATTTATGATATAAGTGAATTTCAAAAAAACTTAATTGTATGTCAGATAAGTTAATATATATTTTTATACGTTAATATATATATATTTCTTATAAGTTAATTATATTATATTTCTTCGTGTATTTCTCTACATAACATCAAAGGCAAGTGAATAACGAATTTCATTATAAGCGATTTCAATATAAACGAATATGGCAATTAATTTAGCAATTTGATAGGTTATCAATTGATCACGATGCACGGAGAAAAAAATTCTGGTAAAAGTACCGTGTAATGACATTTCTGATAAAAAATAAATTTAAAAAAAAACAAGCAAGCATAATTCTGGTTGTAAAATTCAAATTACGCGGTATTTAAACCATTCATTTGTTAATTTTTCTATTCATATGGTAACGGTTTACCGGAAATTCTGATTATCAAAATTATAGTTCTTATTACCACACATCTAGTACAAAATACAAAAATGAAAAATAAATTTAACTGAATAAATGATTTTATGCCATGCTCTTAGGTATCATGATAAAATTACCAAATTTAACTACATTTACCAACTTTTATCACGCGTTTTAAAACCATATTTTATTGTTAAATTTACCAAAATCATAACCGAAACTCTTCGGAAACAATAATAAGAGCTGCTCGGTGTTCCCATAGAGTCAGAAATGGAGGAAATTTTATCACATTCTGGTAGTTTTGACAATACTTTTTTTTTCTCAGTGGGTTTTTAATACACACTTTTGTTATGCCTCCTAATTTGAATGTCATCAAAGTGCTGAAGTAAAATAAAATGTTGGGACTAAATATTCAGTTATAACTTGAACGAACAGCCTATGAAAAATATAAGAATCAAGAATATAAATTTAATTTTCTTTCATTCATAGCAGATTCCTTGAACTTATTAATGAAAAATTAAAGTGTATGGAATGGATGTATGAAAATATAACTATTTGTACTTTTATTCTTAATTCCAAAACTGTTTTGAACTCTTTAAAAAAATTGTGAAATTGAAAATAAATTTTGCCAAAAATTTTCTTTTCATTTATTGGATAAATTCAATGAAAATATATGAAATAAATATAATGGCATGTAAAATAAATCTGTTATAAAATTGTTAACATTTCACAGTTGTAGATTTTTAATGGACGGCCAACTGGTTATTAAATAGTTTTAGTTTCTATTGCTTATATTCAAATTTAGAACTTTTCAAAAATAAATAAGGAACTTCTATAAAAAAAATATTAACAGACCATGAACAAAAATGTGTACTTTTGAATTTATTTTCACAAATATAAATTTTTATTAAATTTTAAGCCCGAATGACAAATAATTTTAAGCCAAGTCGATGTTGGCTCCCTTTTGTTTTCGCTATATTTTCTTTTTAAAAGAAGTGTGCAATTTAAGGGTTCATTTATTTCTTTTCAAAGGAAATGAGTTTCAAATTGTTTCTTTCTGCTTTACTGTCATTATTGCTAACGATGTACCTAAATTTTTTGACCTGCATGTAATAATAAATCAAGTCATTTTCTTACTTTTTTGCTTGTCCAATAGCCCTACATTTCGTGAAGAAAACATTAAATCGGACGACACGGAAGTAGAATTGGGCAAGGAAAACCGGTGGGATCATCATTCTGGCAATATTAGTTTTTTTTTTTCAGTCAAAAACGGGACAAGTAAACTTGCAAGACAAGTTAAAATTTCCAAGTAAATTACAATCATTCAATAATTCAAGGAACTCCTTTGAAAAATTGATTGTAATAAAAAATTAAACTAAATTGAAATAACTGCATCTATTAATCTTTGAAGCTGATTCTATTACGGATATCCTTAATTACGAATCTTTATAATTGATGTTTTGCTTAGAAATGCACTAAACACGTATTAGAAAAGGAAAGAAAAGCTAGAAAAACAATAAGTAAAATAAATTTTTTTTTGAAATTTATTATATACAGGTTGCTTCGGAAAGACCAATTGGGTAATTGGAGATTGAAACTTAAAAGTGCTTCTAAAAATAGTCTTTTAATTCCTCCGATTCTTCAAACTTGTGTTGTTTATTACATTCGCCTTTCTGTTTTATGACTTGCAGATTTCAATAGCGTTATGTTTCTTTCTCGTTGAAACATTAAATTGCAATCCCCAAATTTATTACTTTTTTGTTTTTATTTTTATAAGGACTAAAAAAAATACATATTAAAGGGAATCTTTACGGAACACCCTATAAATTGCTTTTGTTAAATTTTTCTAACTGGCCAAAAAACTTGTTTTTAAATTAAATTAATTTATACGAAAAGAAAAGGTTTTAAAAATTTTTGCTTTTTCATGCAAATAAAAAGAAGAAAAACAAAACAGGCACAGAATATTCGATGTTAATAAAATTGCTGATGGGCTGCTTGACTCGATGAATATCTTCCTCATTCATTCTTTCTCATTTGTTTTACTTTCCATGATAGGTTTAGTTAACTGAATTTTATTAAATAACGTTCGCAATGCCGCTGCTTGTATAGTCAAATGACTACTTTGTGGTTCTGAAAGGGATAAAAAATAATATTTCAATAACCTGAATAAGTATTTTTGCTTTTCTTAATAAATCTAAAACTCAGTTTAAATCTCACCGATGAAGGAATTGAATATTTTTTATAAGGGTACATATTTTTCTTTAAGGGAAACGCATGTCGTAGGAATTACTTTTTTATACTAACTGATTAAATAAATTACAAAAAAATAGAAATTTTTAAAGCAACTACCTCAAAAATTATGAATCTAAATATGATATTGTTAACTAAAATATTTTAATTCGTGGTTCAATTACCTTGATAACATAATTACAAATATTTTTTTTTATTATTGAACCATAAAAATTGTACTTTTAGAATATATTATTTGGAAACTTAGAAGCAATGCTATATAAAAAACTATGTACTCCGTATAAATCTTTAGTCTGCTCTGTTGTTTATAAAAGAAACCCTGCAAAATTGTTATTTTTTAATTTTTAAATTAATTTCCTGAAATTTTTCTGCTAAAATTTCACTTTTATCCTCCTTTTCTCATAGAACTCTCATTTGTGATAAATAAAACTGTGAAACACAGAACCGTTAAGGTTAACACGAGGTTTAAGAAAATATACATAAATAATTTTATTTTCTTCAACGATAATAATAATTTTTTTCTTAGAAAATAAATCAGAGTTAAATATGCAGGATTTGTCGTGAAGGCCGTCTTCAGTATATATATTTTAACTTTTACGGGGCCCTTTTAATACCTCTTATTATGAAGCCATAAGAAAAATTAAACATTTAGAGCCCTAGAATTTTTACTTATATTATTGAAATAAGTATGATTTTTTTTCCTACTTTTATTCCTAAAAAGAAGTATTTTTACATTTTCTGTCTATCTTTCTTTTAAAAAAATTTACACTATCATTTTATGTAATTGAAATAAATAAATTACTGAAATAAATTTGATTTTTTTTCCTTAATTCATTTCGAAAAACAAAATAACTTAACATTTTGTCTATTTTCTTTTTTAAAAATTTACCCAATCATTTTATTTTTATACTTTACACGCACAGTATTCATGGTTCTTGAGTAAGGAATTTCGCATTTAATAGTTCACCTTTAATAATAGTTTAAAGATATCTAAATAAATCTTATTTTTTAATTCTATTTTTTTTTTGTGTGTTAGGGGTCTTTAGAGATGTTGTGACTACTGCCTCCTACCTATTTCATTTATATGAGACTAGAAATTAGGCTTACAATTTTCAATGCTAAAATTAACTTCAAGCGGCTCTGCTGTCTGGAACGTCCGGAAAATTTTCTAAATAATCCTTTGAATTTTTATCGCCTTATTTCATATTTAATGCGAGATACATTCTTCAAACGCTTATACGCAATTAACAGGCTAAGGGTATAAAATTACGACAGATGAATCTATAATATTATGACAGATGAATCTCTGAAATTACGACACATAACTAAATATTAAATTTTCCTTATAAGTATTGAAAAGTTTAATAGAAGACTGTACCGAGAAACATTCAGAAAAATGCGCCAAAGTTTATGATTAAAAACATGATGTATTAGAGTGCAAGTGTGTTTTAGAATTAAATTTATTTTTCTGTGAGGCCATTAAATAATATGATTTTTAATGAGATATTGAGTTTTTTATTACACTTTCACGCTATTGTTATATTTCAAGCTGATGTCACTAAACTCACTAAAATATTACTTCACTGTTGAAAATTCTAGATCAAATTCAAGTATAAAGTACCGGCACTTTGGGTGCATCATTCGTAAAATCCAATTTCACCGTAAAATATTATATCGTAATTTTCG